GGATGAAAGTATGGGTCACTCCTCCAGGGAACGAGCCAAGACCTGCAGAGGTGCTTGCTGATGGTGGAGGAAATACAGAATGGGTCGTAGAGGAAGGTAGTTACAAATACCAACTTAGGCCACGTGACCAGTTGCAGAAACATGGATTATAATTGACATGAGTATTTTTGTCCTATTTGGTTAAGAATAGGCCTGTGCATATATACACATATGTTAAGCAGATACTTGTGCTATTCTTATTTGAATGTATAATTGAGATAAGTGTTTTAAGTACTTAAGTGTTATGAACCTAAATGATCATATTGGGTTATGAGACACTAATGGACTAAGCATTCCTCGAAGACCTTATCACCTACTCTAAGATATATAATGCATTGGTCATTGTATTATGGGATAGTTATATCATGTTAGGTGAAATTATGACCTCAACATTGTTTTCATTTGAAAATTAAGCATGACATAGAGAGATGCTATTGGGTGTCAAGTTGACAAGGGTGGACCTGTGATGGCTAATCCTGGGTGTCAACTTGACTGGATTTGGGATTAACTGAAATGAAAGAGATCTTCTTGGTTGGATCATCTAAAGCCAGAAGACACAGCCTAAATGTGGGTGTTACCTTCTGATGGCAGCCGGTATAAAAGGCCATGGCAGAGGAGAACGCCAGGCATCTTGCTGCTTGCCTTCTCTCTCGCTGGTGAGTTATTTCTGCTGCTGTAGACTGAAGACTAGCTGATCTTTTGGAATTTGTCAGACCTTCAGGGCCAGATTGGGACTACTGAGACATCCAGACTTGTGGACTGAGCGACTACGGATTCTCATCCTCTCCAGTGTGGTGCAGCCATTGTTGGACTACTCAGACTCTATCCTGTGAGCTAAGCTGATAAACCTCTATACATATATATATATTCATTCTACCCATTCTGTTTCTTTGCAGAACCCTAATACACCCTCTTACCTAGGGAAGCAAGTTGAGGTATGGTATAAAGTCTTCTATCCTTCATCAAATTGTATCTTTACTTGGGATAACTGGCTTGCCCTGAAATTCATATTCTTACATATAGCCATGGCCAGGGTTAAAATATTATCTCCTGAAGGCATCCGTTTAAAAGGTTTCATTTTAGGTGACAGGGCATGTGCATTCTTTCCTTAGCCTTTCACTTCTTGAATTGCTACAGTAGCACAGTAAACTTCTCTACTTCGACTCTGACCCTCACACTAATGAAGACTCAGCCTTCCAGAGTAAATCCCTTCATAGTCAAATCCCTCTGTCACCTACCCACTCTTTTTCTGTCAGCTTTTGTTTACTAAGATTCAACAAGCCTTACCTGGCCTCCATGGACATTTATCACAGGACCATGTTTATGTTCATGGTCCACATTTCCATGGAAATCTTGACCTCTTCTATCATACCTGTAAATAACTCCTCTTTCAGCTATAATAGCCTATCTTTTTCTTTCCCTTTATCATGAAACATATAGAAGGAAGGGACAGTAGTCAAAAATAGTAGCCACTATTTTGTGGTGGATAATAAACTTTTGAAACATGATTAGTCAGCATACTATTTTACTTGGTTTTGATTGGTCCATAGTTCAGTTGCTTCGTGTAGAGCTCCAGGTTGAGCAGAGGAGCCATGACATTTTGTCTCTTCGTTTGTGCATCCCCTCCCAAAACTTTCCCCATGCCCTCCATTCCCTAAAAAAGCTAACAAAGCCAGGCTTCCAATTCTATTCTGAAGATTTCCACCAGCTCTCTCAACAACACTCAGACCTCAGCTTTTCAAACTCAGACCTTCTTGCTGCACCTACACATTTGACTGGGGAAACTCAGAGCAGCCTTGTGCTTCTGGACAGCAAACTCTGCAAAGACAACTCTTCTACTGCTTTTCATCCTTAAGATGCTTCTTTCCTAGATTTTACTTCCTCATAGAACCTTTCAAAGGTAAGATCTTCGTACAGTGTTTATAGACTTTCCCAACGCTTTGCCTCTTTCCGTTTTCCAGACCATAGCTTCATTCTGTTGCAGTCAGTTCCTGGATCCCTGACTCTTAATAAACAAGAAAGATGTTCCCTCACTTCTTTGGTGAATCCCTAGGGTCACAAAGACCTATGATATGCACAATTTGCAGAGAACTGCACAGGACAGAGGTCTGTAGAAGTGGAAGCAGAGAGAAGAAATCCATTTTGACTGAGGTCAGCACTTTACCAAGTTGTCGCCTCTGGTAGGACAGCTTATTGTAAAGCCTCAGGCACGAGGATGCTCTCTCTGGGCAGAAAGACATAAGGAAAAGCATATTTTAATGAAGACAATCTAAAATATTTGTTCATATTAACAATAATTGTCTACTCTTCAACATTTTACTCAATTTTAAACTACAAATGCATTCAATTTAGAAGACTTTCCTTTATTTGTCTTTCACAATGAAAAAACAATTATGTTTGTGTTTTGGGGTCATTAAGGTAGGGTGACATACTAAGAAACAATTTTTTAATAAATTCAAAAATATATTTCAATTTATAATTCAAGTATGTACCACACTAGGAAGATGATGGTATTTTAGACTTCAAGATATATCCAGAAAATATCTTGTAATTTAAAAAAACAAAAAGATCTCCAGCATATTATAAAATGTATTTTAACAGTGTTTCACAGAAAGCAGGAAAGAAATTTTAGACGCTGTTAGAAACTATTTAGCATTTCAATCAAAAGAGATGATGGACCTAGAGAGATGGGAGAATATGAGGCAATCTTGCTTGCTGCCTTCGAAGAGTTTCCAAATATAACACAGGAAGGGGGGAACTTGGCAGAATCTCTACATTCCTTGAGTTGAGAAGAAAAGGTGTATGCCCAAAAAGGAAAACATGCATATTGTTCTCAGGGCAAAGTACTAGAAAGGAGACAGCTGAAGAGGGCTACAACCGCCTGAACTAGAAAAGTAAAAAGAATGCTAAACCTCAAGTGAGCAGAAAGGGGGGGACTGTGAAAATGAGAGCCAAAGGGCTAGAGAGATGGGTCTGTTGGTAAAGTGCTTGTAGCAGAGGCATGAAAATCTAAGGTAGATCCCCACAACCCACATAAAAAAGTCCGGTGTGGTGGCAAACACTTGTAATCTCTGCAATGGGAAGGCAGAGACAAGGAGATTCCTGGAACTCACTGGCTGGTCTGTCTACCCTGCTTGGCAGGTTCCAGGCCAGTGAGGAACCCTGTCTCAACAAACAAGGTTAATGGTTCCTGAGGAATGATACCCAAACTTATTCCCTGGCCTCTACACTCCACACATATGCACATATCTCTATACATACATGGTCTCTTCTCTTTCTCTCTCTCATCTGTCTCTCTGTCTCTGTCTCTCTCTCTCACACATACACACACACACACACACACACACACACACACACACACACACACACACACACACAGAAAGAGAGAGATAAAAGCCAAAATTCAATGAAATATGTAACAACATGACAACTCTAGCCAGAACTGTCAGGAAAAAACTAAAAATGAAGAGAAGACACACAAAGGGTGACAACTCAGAAGTCTTTTGATGAATAAATAAACAGTAAAATAGAATATGACTCAGTAGTACAAAGAAATAAATTGTTGATATGAGCAAGAAATTGGATAAATCTCAAAGGCATTATGTAGAATGAAAGAAGCCATTTTCAAAAGGTCACAGACGGTGTAGTTCTATTGGTACAGCATTCTTGGAAAGGTAAAACCACAGTGACAGAGACTAGATCAGGGAGAGAGCTATCTGAAAATAGAGATCATGTATGACTTTTTACAAGGAATTTTGTATTCTGATTGGGGTAATGATTTACATGAATCTTCCTCAGTGTTAAACTCAAAACTGTATAACAAAAGAAAGGCCAATTTCACTAGTCATCCATTTAAAAATAAAATTAAGAGATGGCATCACCAAAAAAAGGCACATATTAGGAGAAAATAGTTGCAAAACAATACATGTAGTTGATTTTAAAAATCTCGTTTCTGTAATGAAGAACTGTCAAACCACAATAATAAGAAAACAATAACAACATAAAGGGGCAAAAGTTTGAACAAACTTTCACTACAGAAGATAAACGGATATCAAATTAGCCTAGATAAAGATTCTCTACATTACTGTCACCAATATGCAAATGAAGCCAGCTGATCCAATTATTCTACTTTTTCTAAGAAAAAATAAAAACATAGATCGATACAGAGACTTGGAACACAAACACTGCATCAGTTTTATTTGTCATAGCACAAACTAGAAGCAACTCAAAGGCCCCTGAACAGGTGACTAAGCACACTGAGGTATATCCCTTCAGGGGAAGTCCACTGAGCAATGATAATCAACGAACTATGGGTGATACAAGGAACAGCATGGATGAAACTCAAAATACTGGCATCTAAACAGCAAGAACATCCCCAGAGAACAACTATTGCATTGTTCTATTATAAAATTCTAGAAAATGTGAACTAATCTATGACAGAAAGCAGAGCAATGCTTGCTTAGAGAAGCATGGAGGGACACAAAGAAGAAATTACAGAGGCAGAGGAGGAAGTCCAGAACTGTTTTTTATTTTTTTTAAGTCATGATTGTAGTGAGAATTGCATGGATATATGCACAAGACAAAGCATTTTTACACTGAAAATTTCTGTAGCTTTATACTAATTATGCCTTATTTTAAAAAATAAGTAAAAAAATGAAATTAAAGTACCTTTTTAAAGTATATTTTATATTTAAAAGAGGGGGAAGGGGAAGGAGGGTGAAAATGGAGAAACGGGAAAGAGAGAAAGAGAGAGAGAGAGAGAGAGAGAGACTAGAGGGCTCTAAATGTACCTTGGATTAATTACAGCTCATTATCTCAGTTTGTTCCTATCTTAAAATGCTGTCTGTCCTGCATTCTTTGGACATGTAATCAACATTTCAGATAATATCAATTTTATATGCCTACTTCCCTGCCTGAGGGATGCTCAGATAGTTGAAAAATATTGTTCTTGAGAGTGCTTTGAAGGCATTTCTGGGTTTCTGCAAGAGATTATCATTACAATCAATAAACTAAGGAAAGAAGAAACGGAACAGAAACATCCAGTCCTGATTCACTGTTGAGGACAGAATAGGAAAAAAGGAAAAGGAAAGGGGCGTGGGGAAGGGCCAGTTTCCTCTCTCTGCATGAGCTGAGCCAAGCATCCTCTCCTACCACAGAGTATTGAAGTTCCTTACTCTTGGCCCTTGAGACTCTGCAACTTAGACCAGTGGCCCCTAACCCTACCCTAACCTTAACCCTAACCCTAACTCCTAACTCTAACCCCTAACCCCTAACCATAACCCCTAACCCTAACCCTAACCCTAACTCCTAACTCTAACCCCTAACTCCTAACCATAACCCCTAACCCTAACCCTAACCCTACCTCCTAACCCCTAACCATAACCCTAACCCCTAACCCCTAACCATAACCCCTACCCCCTAACCCTAACTCCTAACTCTAATCCCTAACCCCTAACCATAACCCCTAACCCTAACTCCGAACACCTAACCCCTAACCCTAACCCCTAACCCCTAACCATAACCCCTAACCCTAACCATAACCCCTAACTCTAACCCCTAACCCCTAACCATAACCCCTAACACTAATCCTAACCCTAAACCTAACTCGTAACTCCTAACCCCTAACCCTAACCCCTAACCCCTAACCATAACTCCTAACCTCCTAACCCTAACCCTAATCCTAACTCCTAACTCTAACCCCTAACCCCTAACCATAAAGAATAACCATAACCCCTAACCCTAACCCTAACCCTAACTCCTAACTCTAACTCCTAACTCCTAACCATAACCCCTAACCCTAACCCTAACCTAACCCTAACTCCTAACCCCTAACCATAACCCTAACCCTAACCCCTAACCATAACCCCTAATCCCTAACCCTAACTCCTAACTCTAACCCCTAACTCCTAACCATAACCCCTAACCCTAACCCTAACTCCTAACCCCTAACCCTAACCCCTAACCCCTAACCCCTAACCCCTAACCCCTAACCCCTAACCCCTAACCCCTAACCCCTAACCCCTAACCCCTAACCCCTAACCCCTAACCCCTAACCCCTAACCCCTAACCCCTAACCCCTAACCCCTAACCCCTAACCCCTAACCCCTAACCCCTAACCCCTAACCCCTAACCCCTAACCCCTAACCCCTAACCCCTAACCCCTAACCCCTAACCCCTAACCCCTAACCCCTAACCCCTAACCCCTAACCCCTAACCCCTAACCCCTAACCCCTAACCCCTAACCCCTAACCCCTAACCCCTAACCCCTAACCCCTAACCCCTAACCCCTAACCCCTAACCCCTAACCCCTAACCCCTAACCATAACCCCAACCCTAACCCTAACTCTAACTCCTAACTCTAACCCCTCACCCCTAACCATAACCCCTAACCCTAACCCTAACCCTAACTCCTAACTCTAACCCCTAACCCCTAACCATAACCCTAACCCTAACCCCTAACCCTAACCCTAACCCTACCCCTAACCCTAACCCTAACCCTACCCCTAACCCTAACCCTAACCCTACCCCTAACCCTAACCCTAACCCTACCCCTAACCCTAACCCTAACCCTACCCCTAACCCTAACCCTAACCCTACCCCTAACCCTAACCCTAACCCTACCCCTAACCCTAACCCTAACCCTACCCCTAACCCTAACCCTAACCCTACCCCTAACCCTAACCCTAACCCTACCCCTAACCCTAACCCTAACCCTACCCCTAACCCTAACCCTAACCCTACCCCTAACCCTAACCCTAACCCTACCCCTAACCCTAACCCTAACCCTACCCCTAACCCTAACCCTAACCCTACCCCTAACCCTAACCCTAACCCTAACTCCTAACTCTAACCCCTAACCCCTAACCATAACCCCTAACCATAACCCTAACCCTAACTCCAAACCCCTAACCCCTAACCATAACCCTAACCCTAACCCCTAACCCTAACTCCTAACTCCTAACCCCTAACCCCTAACCATAACCCCTAACCCTAACCCTAACCCCAACCCTAACTCCTAACCCCTAACCCTAACCCTAACTCCTACCTCCTAACCCCTAACTCCTAACCATAACCCCTAACTCCTAACCATAACCCCTAACCCTAACCCTTTCCCATGATAAATCTCTTCTCATAGGTGGATGGATAGATAAATAGATGATAGATAGAGATAATAGATAGATGATTAGATGATAGATAGATAGATAGATAGATAGATGATAGATA